GGGATGGGAAGCACAGAGTCAACCAAACACAGACAGTCTACGGTTCAGAGGTGTTCGGTCAACACAGGTCAGATTGGGACCAGGACTAGGGGGAGGGGGGAGATTCCCCAAGAATAAGAGATCCGGGCCTCGTTGACTTTACAAATGGAGGTTCATTAGGGAAAAAAAATAAGGCTAGTGTTCGGGGAGATGGAGCCAACCACATCCGGGGATGGTGGACTTCTTTCCCATTCCTTGACCCCCTGCCCTGGGCCCCACCACAGAGCTGCACTCCACGGAACGCTGCGTTAAGAGGGAGTGACTGGACCCTTCTACTCTGCCCACTCCCCCCTTCGAGGCGAGGGGCATGCGCGTGCGAGGCACGTGCCCCTGCTGGCCTCCTGGCCCGCGTGACCCCCGTCCCCTTCTCGCCTTTCGCCGGACTCCGCCCACTCCCCATGGCCTTCCCCCCCATCCCCGCCCTTAAGGGGGCCGACTCCAGGGGCTGTGGACTCTAGTCCAGCGGACCCAAGGAAGGCTCTGTAGGGCAGCGGGTACCTGTCAGCTTCGCCTTTCGCGTGCACTTAGAGGGATGGCCCCTCCCTCACCTCCGCCAGCTGCTAGAAACCGTTACCACTGCCTCCCTCAGTGGCCACTCTGGCCACAACACTCTATGACCGGCTCCCAAGGCCCCCCACTTCCGTTCCTTTACGTCACAGGCTTCGGGAACCTCCCAGGGGCGGAATGCAAAGGGTGCGCTGGCCCTTTCTAAGTTCTGATTGGCCATCGTCGGGAGAATGGCAGGCGACTGCTCGGTTTTTTTTTCTCCTTGACTTTCAAAAAAACTTTATTGTTTAGAAATGCCGTATGATAATTGCCGACGCCTCTTCATTCTAACAAGTTTGAGCGTCTCACATTAGATTAGGGAAACCTTTCCGGGAAGCCGTTCAGGCAGCGTGGGACCAGCAGCCGAGTGATGGCGGGGTTACAATGGCAGAAACAACAAGGGGAAGAAAGGAACGGGGGAGGGGGAGGGAAGGAAATAGAGAACGGAGAAGAGGAGAGAAAAGCGCAGAGAGACATTTCTTTTTCACACATTCAGGGGTGGAAGGGACCTTAGAAGTCATCTAGTCCAACCCATTCTTTTTTCTTAAAAAAAAAAATAGATACCTTTTGTCTATTCCTATCCCACCTCCTCTAGATTGAACAATATCTCGTGAAAAAGATAAGTAATTAAGCGAAAACATCCACATCTTGCTTTGTCTGACAATGTATATAATATTTTGTCTTAGTAGTCCCCCACCTCTCTGCAGTGAGGAAAGGAGTGTTTCATGATCTCTTCTCCTGAGCCTTTATTATTGGGATTTAAAGAATTGTTTTATTTTAATATCAATGCCCTAATGGTTCTCCTGTCCCCCATAAAGCCTTCCCTTATAACAAAGAAGCATAGTTAATCAAAATAAATCAACGTATTAGCCATGCCTGAAAATGTATTTCTCATTTTGTAGTCTATATTCCACCATCTCTTTTCTGAGACTCTGAAGTCATAATCTGGCACGATATTGGTCAGAGTTCAGAATTCTTTCAGTTTTATTTTCCTTTACATTATCATGCTCGTCATGTAAATTGTTTTGATTCTGCATCAGTACATCTGAAGCTTGTCTGAATTTTTCCTATTTCTATTTCACTTGACACAGTGGTATTCCATTACATTTATATAACCAATGATTTGTTCTGACATTTTCCAGTTAATATCTACTTATTTCCAGATCATTGCTACTACAAAGTCTTTGGCTCTCTTCATTTTATTTTTTTAAAACAGTTTTATTTATGCCTTTGTCTTTGTATTACAGTTATTTCCCACTCCCTGTCCAGAATGAACTTCCCTTTGTAACAAAAAAGCTGTTAAGCAAAAACATCTGACCCTATCATTCATCATTTACAATATTCTGTCCTAGAATCATCCCTCTAACATCAGAAAGGAGGTATGTTTTACTATCTCTTCTTAGAAATCTTCATTAGCTTTTCCATTATTCCATCTATTAAAACTACTACAACGTTGTGGTTGTGTATATTTTTGTTAATCCTGCAAATTTTGTGTTACTTCATACAAAATCTTCCCACAATTCTCCATATTCTTCATATTCAGCACTTTAAAAATTTTTGTTAATATTCTATTACTATTAACAGCTCATTCTTTAAAGTCAGTCTCCACTTGACGAGCACCTACTTGTTTTACTTGTTTGCTACCCACAGAGTACTTAGTGTTTTGTTATATTTTGGACCTTTATTCCCTGTCTTTTACTTCCATGAAGTATATACCCAGTAGTGAGATTGCTAGGGCAAAAAGTACGTCCAATTTAGTTACTTTTCTTACATAATTCCAACTAGAAATCCAGTGCTGCTGCCTAACCATCCCTAGCCTCTCCAACTAATTTACTCTTCCCATCTTTTTTCATCTCTGCCAATCTGCATCATGTGAGATTTTCTTATTTGCACTTCTCTTACTATTGGTGATTTAAATCATATTTTAATGTGATAATGTGTATTTTGCAATTCTCCTCTTGAAAACTGTTTGTTCAGATCCTTTGGCCACTTATCTATTTGGGAATGGCTCTTGATACTATAAATTTCTGTCATTTTCTTTCCAACCTCCTTACTCAACAGGAATACGGTCTTAAGTGGTTGAGTAACTTGCCAAAGGCCACACATATAGGAAGTAGCATAGTCAAGATTTGAGTCCAGCTCCATTGTTGCACATTTTACCACTCACTAATTGTGTGACATGGGGAAGTTATTTCACCTGAGTCTCAGTTTCCTCACCTGTAAAATGATAAAGTTGGATTAGATTCTAAGTTCCTTTCTGGCTCTTAAGAGGTTGTGATTCTATTTATGAACTGGGAGAGAGGAAGAGAAGAAAGGACAAAGAGTGATAGAAAGGAGATAGAATACAGTGAGTAATAGAGATAAGAGAGAGGGATAGATGAGAGGAAACAGAGAAAAGGTAAATAAATGAAAAAGGTGATTAAAAAGTGAGGATAAAGAAAGAGGACAGAAATGGAGAAGAGAAATAGAGAAACAGCAGAAGATAAGAATTAAGTCTGTTTAACTTTATACAATTCCCCAAACAAGTAATTCATTTATTCATTCATCCAACAAAAATTAACTCAACACTTGTACAGGGCATTCTGCTAATAAGGCTAAAGGAAAGCTTGGGAGAAATAGCTAATCAGAGAAAGAAGAGTGTCTGACACAGAGACCTGGAGAAGAAAGTACTGAGAAATAAAACTGAGATCTATTCAACTAGTCATCTACTGAAAATTATTACATTAAATTGTTACACCAAACCCAGGCATATAGCTCAATTTTATGTAAAGAAACATCATGGCACAAATGCAGGGATTGAAAAATCGCAGTAACGGAAGGGATTTAGGAAATGTCTCTGAAGAAATGCAGCAAAATCAGCAGATGGAACTAAACTAATGACCCAATGTCCTAATCACTTTCCCCCCCAACACATGGACATATACAAATATACAAACACAGTTTGTGAATACCCATTGCACATATACATATCCAAGGCAGAAACCCAGCACACACACATATCCAGAATACACACTGAGCATACACATATGACAAACGGGACTGTACATCTAGATGGCACAAGCAGGGTACATACAAACAACATGGAGAACACACATTAAGTGTTCCAGTGTGCACAACTTCTCCTATTTGCAGATGTACATATGAAGCAACTGGCTCCTCTTCGCCGAGTTGTGTGGAACAAATTGACAGGAACACAGCAGCATTTAATAGCCTCTGTCCTCCTGTCGTCAACAATAATTTCTCTTCTAACTCTGGGTAATAACCAAATGGGAGGGAGAGGTAAAAGATGGGAAAGAAGCTTGGCATGTAAAGTTAGATCCTGAATACAAAGATATTAATGTAAAAATGAAGTAAGAAACAGGTAGAAATTGGGGAAAAGGAGATAGGGGGTAGAGAGTTGTACAATCAGAGATGGAAATCAATCAATCAAGAAGCATTAAGTGTTCACTATGTGCCATTCGTTATGCTAGATGTTGAGGATTGGAAGAGAAAAATAAAACAATTCCTGATCTCAAGGAGTTTACATTCTTTGTGGGTGGGGGAGTGTGCAGAAAAGAGAAGTAGATGGAGAGGCAAATAGAAAATGAAAGACTAAGGGCAGCTAGGTGGCATAATGGAGACAACACAGGCCCCGGAGTCAGGAGGACCTGAGTTCAAATCTCATCTCAGACACATGTTGTGTGACCCTGGGCAAGTCACATAACCTGATTGCTTGGTTTGAAAGAAAATGAAAGACTAACCCAAGGATGAAAGGAAAGAGAGACCAGAAAGAAAGGAGAGAGTTGAGAGTGATCAGGGTCACTCTCAGAGCTTCGTAGGAGCCAACCCCTGCCCCACACACGTATCAGTAATTCCTAATGGCAATACATTCATAACCCAGGAAGCTGGGGATAGGAATGGGATTTTTATGGCTATTTTTCTGGGTCTTGTCCCAAGGAGAAGAAAGAAGGTGGTAGGGTAGGGGATATGAACTGAGTGATTCTGAATTGAGGTGCTAGAGTTCAGATGACCCTGATTTTGTGACATGAAGTGACATGAAATTGAGGTGACAAAGTGGGAACATGAGAAGTTGGAATGATACTCAAATGAGGTGATACACTTCTTATGATGAAGAGTGGGTAGGTATGCTGAAAGTCATATAGGCACAGCCTGGAATGTCAGGATGACCAACAACCCTACTCTATTCCACTGTCCCAAACCATCCGGGGATCCCCGTATCCCCAGCGGCATGGTAACAGGAGGGTTAAATAGTGCGTGGCAGGCGGAGACGGAAGGTCTGAGCTGACGCTTAGCCAAGACAAGACAAGACGAGCTGAGCAGAACTGAACTGAGCCTCTGCCGCCGCCCCACACTCGGGGCGCCTCCTCCCGCGCCCCGCCCGCTAGTCCCCTGACCATGCGCCTGGCCTGGCGCCCCCCGCAGCCCCCTAACCCCGCACAGCCTCTAGCCCCCCTAGCCATCCCGCAACATCAGCCACGGAGCAGGTGAGTGCGACACCCTGCAACCTCCATCCCTCATCCCAGGTACCCAGGCTCTGTCCTTCCTGGATCCTGCGTCCTTTCCTAGCCTCCTTCTTTTCCAGCCCCAAATTTCCATCTGTCCTGTCCCTATTTATTATGCCTCTATCCTTCCTTCCCCATTTCTGTTTCCATCACCACCATCACCATCACCATCCATCTAGATCTGCATCTTTCATTCATCCATCTAGATCTGCATCTTTCATTCGGCATCTCTATCTCCATCCTTTATTTTCCAGCTCCGTCTCTGTGTTCCCAGCTGTCGCCATCCCTCTTTCCCTCTCCTTGCCTGCATTCTCTGTCTCCTCACTCCTCCTCCCTCTTCCCATCCTTTCTCCTTTGCTCTCTTCCCTCTTGTTTTCCTCCTTTTCCTTTCATTGGCCTCTTCCCACCCACTCTTCCTCCTCAGTGTCTCTCCCCCTCACCCCCCCCTTCCTGTCCATTTCTGGGAAAAGCTCTGTCTAGTTTGTAGTGAGAGGATGGTTTGGGGATGGGGGCAGACTCCTTGGGAAGGGCCCTCTGCCCCACCCCCTAGCTTATCTCTTGCGCACAGACCTGTTGTGCGGAGCTTGGACAGGTGGGTGGGGGATGTGTAAGACGCTGAATCCGGGGGACTGCGGGGTTCCTGAAGGGGTTGAGAGGATACAAGGTGCTGGAGTTAAGGTTGGGAGGATGGGTAAGGAGACAGGAAGGGATGAACCCTGAGGTTTTCAGTAGCCCCTCATTCCTTCTCTGCTTCACTGATTAGCAATCACATTCTTCCCCTCCTTAGGAAAATCTGGAGGGACAATTTCTGACTCCCGTTCGTTTTCTCTTCCATTTTTCTATGCTGTCTTCTGTCAGCTATTCTATTCCTCTTCCTCTTTCTCCTCTTCTCTACCTTGATCTGTCTCTTTTCCTCCCTCTATCATCTGTTACCATGTATCCTCTGTTTCCTTCCCTCTTTTCTTCCTCCCCACCCCCTTTCATTGTCTCTCTTCTCTATGCTCTCCATTCCTTTTTGCGTTTTCTCTTTTCCCTATATCTTTTATCCCCACCTATTTCCTTCTACCTCCAGTCTTCACTCTCATCTTCCTCTCCCCTCTCTCTTCTCTATTTATTGCATCCTTCTCTACTTACCTTTTTCTGACCCTCTCCTGTCTTTCTTCCCACCTCCTCTTGGATACAATCTTTTTTTCCCCTCTCTAGCTGTCTCCTCTTATTTTTTTTTACTCCTTTTTTTCCCCCTCATACTTAACCACCTCTATTTGCATCTTTCCCCCACCACTTATTACCTTTCTTATTTGTACCCACTGGGCTGCTCTATCTCTGTCTACACCAACTACCTTTCTCTTCACTGTGTTTCTTTCCCTCTATCCTTCTCCATTACTTAGCTGGTGGTATTCAGGGTTTGGATTCAAACCCAAAATCAAAATGAAACTGTTCAGACAAGGAACATTTACTCCTGTTGGGACCAAAGTGGTATTCTACTCAGTGGTATCCCCTAGGATACAGAGCCTAAGGGATGCCACATTTTAGGCTTACTCTTTCTCAGCTCCACCTCCCTGCAGAAAGCACTCATGCAATTAGCTGATTAAACACCAATAACAAAAATTCTAGCCAAGGCTTTTCCCTTCCTCTTTTGGAAGTCTGGGACCCTACCCATGAATGTCTTCCTAGAACATGGGGTTACAAAAGGAGTTAAGGAGCAATGGGGAAAAAACTACCTCCCTCCAACCAAAGCATCTTCTCTTTCCCCTTACCTTTTTCTTGGACTCCATCCCCCCTGTGGCTCATGCTCAAATGCTCACACAATTCTGGGCCCTAAATAAAAGTCAGAGTACAGGCAGCATGACACAATGGAAAAGAATATTGGAGTTTAGAGTCAAAGGATCTGGGTTCAAGTACAGGCTCTACCATATACTATATGGCAGGTCGCTTGGCCTCTCTGACCGCAGTTTCTTCGTCGGTAAATGAAGGGGTTGGAATGGATGGCCTCTGAGGTCCCTTTGTACTCTAAACCTATGAAACTGTGAGATGAGATGAGAGCTGGGAGCGAAGGGAGTGAGAGAAAAGGAACCAGAGAGACTCAGAGGTGTGCGGTGAGTCTGGTGGACTGGCTGATTCAGGGACAGGAGAGGAGAGGAGGCTACAGTGCAATGACTCCCAGTGGATAAGATACAGTTGACTCTGGAGAGTGGTGACAAAGGCAGTAATGCCACTACTTGGGACGAGAAAGGTAATTTTGGGGATATGGACAGGCTGGGGAAGGGAGGGATGGAAAGGGCAGAGATGGGATTGATCAAGGGGTGAATGGATGCCCAAGTCAAAAGTTCAGAAATTGGACTGGGAAAGAGGATTATAGACTCACTCTGTATCTCTTCTCTCCCTCAGGGAAGACTGAAAATCAAGATCATAGCTGAGGGAGACCTCAGATATGGAGTCCAGGATGTGGTAGGTATTAGATACCAAAGGGGAGTCCAGAGACCGTATTCTCTGGACTGTTGACCCTTTTCTCATTGACCTAACCCTGGGAAGTTCCTTCCTAGAGAAAAAGAACACGTTGGGGAGTAGAAACTATGGTTAAAATCTGGCAAGAGGTCTCATCTTCTCCATTACCGAGCTGGTGGTAGTGGAGAAATCTCATAGAGGTTACTCTATACTGAGAGAAAACTGGGGAAAAACAACAGCAGCAACAACAACTATGCCTACACTGATGCTGAGGAATGGCCTTGGCCACATGCCCCAGCCCAGAGAACACACTCCTTGACAAATGGATTCTGGTGGGGAACAAACATCAATCTTACTCCTTTTGTCTTCCTATTCCAGGCCTGCACTGTTGATGTCCCACCTCCTCCCACTCTGGTCGCTGCTCCTGCTGCCCTTTCCACCTCCAGCCCAGGGATCCTCTACCTCTTCACCTCGTGCCCCTTCAGCTCCTGCCCGTCCCCCATGTGCCCGGGGGGGTCCCTCAGCTCCTCGACATGTGTGTGTGTGGGAACGAGCACCTCCCCCAAGTCGGTCCCCCCGTGTCTCACGTTCGAGGCGTCAAGTACCACCTGATACTGCACCCCCTGCCACTCCATCTGGCTTTGAGGAAGGGCCACCTTCATCCCAGTACCCCTGGGCCATTGTATGGGGCCCCACAGTGTCCCGAGAGGATGGAGGGGATCCTAATTCTGCTAATCCTGGTTTCCTGCCACTGGACTATGGCTTTGCAGTTCCTCATGGGCTAGCTACGCCGCATCCCAACTCGGACTCCTTGAGACGTGGCGATGGGGATGGGATCATTCTTGGGGGAGCTCCTGCCACCCTTCGTCCATTTCTATTTGGTGGCCGTGGGGAAGGTGAGGCTGGTGGATGTGAGAGCCTTCTGAGGGGTGAAGTAAGGCTGGTTAGAGAGTTCTGAATTTTGGAAGGTGAAATTCATCTGGAGTGGGAAAGTAAAAAGAGTCAAGAAATAAAAATAGAGAGATGCAGTTGGACAGAGTGAATTGAAGTTAGGGCTACTAGGACTGAAGAAGCTCAAGAGAGCACAGCCTTACCCCTCCCCCAAATATTTTGGGTGAACATGGTGTCTATGATCAGAGTCTACTATAGGTAGACTATGCTGATGGCTAGAGAAATAAATGGAAATGAAAAGGTGAGTCTGGTGGTTGGGAGTTCAGTAGATAAGGGAAAGGTAGATATCCTGATAACCCCCACTGTCTGGGCAGAGAGGTTTGAGGAATCTGTTGCCTAAAGCTTTCCCATCTTGGGATTGTGCAGATGTATTGCAGATTTTGGAAAATGTGCTCGAGAGGTAAAAGAGATGATTTTAGGAAAAGAGAGCTAGGAGTTTGGAGATAGGGAAGAGTTGTTGGTAAAAGAGAAGATTCAAGGAGGGATTTCCCATACTAACACCCCCCCCACACACACACACACACTTAGAAACTAAATTATCATTCTGTCCCAAGGCTTCTCTAATGCTTGATCCTTCCTTAAACAGGTGTGGACCCCCAGCTTTATGTGACCATCACTATTTCTATCATCATTGTCCTAGTAGCCACTGGCATAATCTTCAAATTCTGGTAAGCTAGAGTTTAAGAATGGGTTTTTGGTGGGTGAGGGACAGAAAATGTTAGAGGGGCATAGAGTGGGATTTAAATTAGATAGATGGGTAGGGCAAGAGGCAAGGAAGGGGGTAGATGCAGAATAAGATCCTGGAAAAGGCAGGAATAGGTAGGATTGGATGGGGGAGCAGGGCAGTATATCTTGCCCTGGGGACGGTGAGAGACAGGATAGATTCCTCTTCCTAGAGAAACTGATGAAAAAAGTAAAGAGCTATTTTTTTGAATCGAGGCAGTATAAAGAGACAAGCAAATTGTCTGTGCCCTAGTCCCTTCCCTTCCACTCCTTCACCCCCTCCATGTGGGGTACTTTAGCTGGACTATATGTAGTCTGGGAATTTCTTTTGCCTCCCTCTCCACCAAAAGACTAGGCCTTTAAAGCACCCTATCCTGGAAGAAAACTAATTAACATTCAGAATAGAGCCACATGATAGTTTGTGGATGAGCTTTTCACACTCTGTTGAGACTCCTAGGACTTCAGATTATTAGTGCTCAGTTTGAGCTAGAACTAAATTACAAGACACCTGGCCAAGGAAGGAAAAGGCTTCTGACATCAATTTGGGGTTGAGACCACGTTGGGGAGGGTAGGTCTATGGATTGTATCCTGGGTGAAGGTTCCCGATCAATTATGGGGTGGTTGGGGGGGCCCTGAGTGCACTCCACTAGGGGGAGTCTCCAGAGGGTTTGGGGGAAAAGTGTTTCAGGGCGACCATGTCCAAAGAGGTTTCAATGGTGGATGGATGGTGCTTTTAGAGGACAGTGCCATCACTTTGTGGGATAGCATCCTGCAATATTTCAGGAAGGTATTGCTCTGGGAAGGGTGGGGGGTGGTGACTGATATCTTTTTCCCTTTGCTCTCTACAGCTGGGACCGTAGCCAGAAGCGACGAAGGCCTTCAGGGCAGCAGGGGGCCCTACGACAAGAAGAGAGTCAGCAGCCCCTCACTGACCTGTCTCCTGCAGGAGTCACTGTGCTGGGGTCCTTCGGGGACTCACTCACACCTACCCCTGATCGGGAGGAGCCCCACGGGGGACTCCGGCCTGTGCCCCCCCCAGCCCAAGGGGGCCCCTGCTTTCCAGTTGAACCGGTGAGGGAGAGAGGGCTTAAAGGAGGGAGGGAAATGGGGAAGAAGTTTGGAGTAGAGGGTCAGTGTGAGGGAAGTGTGAGGGACAGAGGGTGGGGAATGAGGAGACTTTTCAGGAGCTGTGAGTCTTTTCCTAGGGAAGGGGGGCAGTGGGTGGGTGGATTGTGGAATATGTCTGATTGGGCTATGTCCCAGGGCTCTTTCATCTTTTCTCTTACCCCACCTCTAGATCTCTTTCCCACTTGAAGGGGTGAGACCACATTATCTCTAGGTCCCTTCTAGCTCTGACATTCTAAGATTTTATGAACTCTGAGCCTGTGACTCTATTGCCCAGTCCAATCCAACAAGCATTAATTATGCTCCTTTAGCTATGACACCATCCTATCAGTTTTGGCCCCACCCCTTTGGTTCTGACTCTCCCTCTTTACTTTTGACTCCACCCCTTCTCCATAGCCCCACCCCCGACACTGACTCCACCTGTCTCTGGACAAGGCCTCCAGTCCCTAACTCAACCCCATCCCTGTGTCCCTGACTTTGCCCTTTCCCTCTTCCCCTTAGGATTCCCTTGGTGAATCTGTGACGCCCCTCAGTGGTGGGGTCCAGCCAAGCAGAAGCCCATGGGGCCTACACAGCCACCATTCCGCTGGGGGTGGGGCAGCTGTGGTGAGCTGGGGCCCCAGATGCTGCTGGCAGAGGACCCCTGCTCCTGTTCTTGCACACCCATTTCCTTGCACACTCACCTGGTCCCAAAGGCAGTCACCCTGTTCACATCCTATAGATAGGGCTTCTCTCCCACAAAGCCCTTACGCACTCAAACAAAAGCCTCGCTGCACACTCGCCTCCACACCGGAACAGTATTGCACACTCTTGTACAGATAGTTTTTTGCACTCACCCTCTTCCACATCTGTTACTAAACTAAACTCTTACATTCTATTTCCCTTTTGTACCACCCAGTCTTCATTCATCACTTTTTTTAAGCATTTTCATCTCCACCTGACCACCTAATTGGCCATTCTCTCATGCACATTTAACCTTTCACATATATTAACTCTCTTACATATCCACTCTGTTGTCACATTGAGTGGCTTGCACATGCTCTCTTGCACACTCACTTAGGTTTTGTGGCCCCTGCATGCTGCCCTACAGGTGGGGAGGGGGTAAGCTTTGGAGGCCTCCAGTGCCCTTAGTTTTCACTGCCCCAATCCACCCAATGTCTTGTGTTTCCCCGTCTCTCCTTCCCTAGTTGTCCCAGCCCATCCCCACCCAGACATTCTTACCACTCTGTGGACTTCTTGATGGGAGTGGGGGAGGGTGCTGAAGCCCCAAGCCTTGCCCGTTACAATACTGCTAAATTCTGGTATCTGAAAGGGTTATGAGATAGTCACCTCCTGAGCCCCTGGAGAAAGCTCCCCAAGTCACCTCCCTCATGCTAATGCCAGCTGTCTCTATGTGTCAATCCCTCTGGATATCAGAGTCCCCCTAAGCCAGCTCTTTATTAAGGGAGTGGCCTCACTAACTCAGCCTAGGCTTTGTAGGAAGCAAAGCCAGTAGGCTCAAGGCCATTGAGCACTCTGCCCCCCAACACCCATGACTATGCCCTTCTTACCCACTCCCATCCTTGTCTCTCTCACCCTGCCTCTTCTTCTCCTTTTTTTTCCTACTTCTGTCATTTGCCCTTCCTCCCCCTTTCCATTGCTTCCTCTCTGAACCCATTCTATTTCTCTTTCCATTTTTCTCTCTTCTCTTCTTTCTCCTAATCCTTTCCTTGCCCCTCTTGGTCCCCTATGCTGTGATATATATTTTTGTATTATCTCTCTTTCTTCTTGTGGTGATAATCTTTGATTCTTGTGGGATGTAAGTTTCAGAATTTTCAAATAAAACCTTTGCAAAATACTCAAGCCCCCTACTTCTGGTTGTGACCCCTGTTGAGAGGAATGGGTAATGGGAGAAGGGAAGAGAAAGACAGGGTGAAGGAATCCCTTGCACCTATATCTGACCAGAAGGTAAGTCTAACTGGGGTCTCAAGCTTTAACTCCTGAGGGAAAGGGAGGGAGAGGAAAGGACAAACAGCTATGGATGCGGAAAATCCTGCTTATCTTCCAATAAATGTACAAAGAGACATAGTGGGGAGGGGCAATGTGGTGTAATGCTTAGGGAGCTGGTTTTAGAATCAGAAAGGTGTTGAGGTTTATCTCCAGCATGTATTAGCTGTGTAACCCCCTCTCAATGCCCCAGGCCACTTGGTAAGTTGCAGAGCAGATGTTAACTTTCATTCATTAGTAGAAAAAGTTTCCTTACTAGGTATTTGTTATACCACTGAAGTCTCAGATCTGTGCCCCCCCCCACAAAAAAAAAAGAAAGACAGCAAGACAGTCAAGGATTTAGGGCAAAAGGAGATTGGAAAAAGGTTAAGGGAGTAGACAAAGAAAAGGAGAAAAGAATTTTTTAAAAATAAAATTAGAAACTTGGGGAGATGGAAGGAAAAAAGGGAGAGTGGGGAGGAAGAGGGATGATGCCCTACATGTTCATTTGGGGTCTTGTTCTTCAGCCTTGACACCACCTCCTCAGAGCTACCTAATGCTGCATTAGTATGCCTGTGATTAGCTCTCCTCATTGGCTCCTCTAAATCCAGCATTTCTGATGGGAGGGCCCCAAGTGGCAATTCTGAGGTAGGGTGGGTGAAAGTGAGGGGCAGAAGTATGGAGACTGACTGATTTGGGTGGAAACAGGGGAATTCAAAACCCCAAGTTCTGTATTTGACTGTTACAACAGCACCCAACCTCCCTGCTTCCTTCCTCCCCTCCCTCCCAGTCCAGACATCAGTCTCTGGATGTTGCTAGGCTCTGTTGCCATGGTGACTGTGCAGTAGTTGTTTCTCCCCCTATTTCTTACCCCCAGCCTCCACCCTGAAATGGGATAGCCTCAGGGTGTGTGAAAATAGCAGGGAAGGGTATCTGGGTCCCCCAAGAGACTGTATGTATATCCATGTGATAGTATATAAAAATAGAATTAGACATGTATTCTAGCATGATTGTGGTGATACATTCATAGGACACATCTAGGAAAATTGCTAGGTACAGATAGGTCAAGTACAAATTCATCTAAGTGTAGAACAAGGTTATTTACACGTGATAAAAAGAAAAATGTGATGTGGGGTGGGATAGGGAAGCAGTTGACCAAAACACACAGAAATGTGAAGAAAACAAAATCTCTAGAGGAAGGAGTCAATGAAGTGGAAACGAGAGAGATCAGATGAAGTACTGGCATAAATGCTGGCTGACAGAAAACCAGAAACAAAGTAGCGAGAATATGGAGGGATGAAGTGAAGAGGCAGGGACACAGAGAAAAGATAGAATGGGAGGAGAAGGGACAAGAAACTAGAATTCAAAACCAATCTCCTTATCTCCACTTTAACCCCAGGCAGCTCATTCCATTTTTTTTTTTTGACAACCCTAATTGTTAAGAAGTTTTTCCTTATGTTGAGCTAACATCTCCCTCCCTGTAATTTCCACCTATTGGTCCTAGTTATACATTCCTGGCCCAAGCAGAATATGTGTAATCCCTCTTCCTGATTAACCCTTCAAATACCAGAGGAAAGTGAGTATGTCCTTTTCCCACCTCCTACTGTAACTTTTCTTCTCTGGGTAAAACGATCTCAATTTCTTCAACCAATCTGAGAATGGGCTTCAAAGAGAATCCAAATGAAGGGATAGGGCAGAGAGGTGGGGGTAGAGCCACTGTTTGAGAATAGAGTCTTTGCCTGTGAATATGATATAGGTACACAATCAAAAAGGTTTGGAGCCTAGTGCCTTATACAATTATAATAGTCTCTTAATTGGTCCCCCTGTCTCCAGTCCATACTCTTTCCAATCTGTCTTCCATACCACTGCCCAAGTAATCTTTCTAGCATACTCTTATGATCCTGTCACTCTTTTACTTAAAAACTTTAGTGGCTTCTGTTGCCAGCTAAATAAACCTCTGATTCCCACCTCTGAGGTTCATTACACTCTGGATCCAATTTACCTGTCCAGTTTTATCTTATACTATTGCCCTTTACCTATACTGAGCTACACTGATCCTACCCATTTACCTCCTGCTTTCTTCTATTACCATGCCTTTGCCTGTGCCTGAAAGGGATTTCCCCATCTCATCTGTTTTTTGAAGGCCCTCTGTTCTTTCTAGGCCCAACTTATATGCCATTTTTTCCATCAAGTATTCCCAGAAGACTTTCCTTCTCATTCTTCCTCCCAACCCCTCAAAGTGAAAATGACACCTCTCTGCTTAAGTTGTTTATCTAACCTTTTGCCAGATTTGCCCAATTTGCCTCTCCTTTGCACTTACCAGTTAGCATTCTTATTTTTCTCATATTAGATTTTAAGTTTCTTGATAGTAAAGCTTATGTTACTTAGCATTTTTATCTGCAGAGCCTAACCTTAGGCCATGCACTAAGTAGACAGTTAGTGCTATTGCTTGGAATGACCAGGACAGTAGAGCAATGGTACCATCACCTCCTTGCTTTTTGATATCACATTGCTGACTCACATGGAGCCTGAATTCTGTTAAAACACCCAGATCTTTTTCAGATGGATTGCTGTCTAGTCATATTCCCCACATCTTGTACTTGTGAAGGTGATTTTTTAAAATTTAAGTGTAACATTTTACACCTAGCCTTATTAAATTTCATCTTATTAGACTCAGCCCAATGTTCTCAGCTGTTCTAATTTCTTTGGATTCTGACTATTTTCCAGTATGTTAGCTTCCCTCCCAGTTTTGGGTCATCTGTAAATTTGATGAGTCTGTCATCTACTCCTTTATCCCAATCATTGATAAAAATGGTAAATAGCATAAGGCCAAGCTCAGATCCCTGATGCACTCCACTGGAAACTTACTCCCAAGATGATGCTGAGCCATTAATGATCACTCTTTGAATCTGGCCATTCAGTAAGTTTAGAATACACATAATTGTACTATTATTGGGCCTATATCTTTTCCATCCTTTCCATAAGAATAGTGATAGACTTTGTCAAATGGTTCGTGAAAATCAGGATAACTATCTACAGCATTCTCCTGATTTACCAGTCTAACAAAAAAGGAAATAAGGCTCTCTCATGACCTGGGTTGGGTTTTGTTTTCCTGTTTGAGGTGAGGGAAAGAGTTGTTGGCTTAATCTTTTATTTATTTATTTATTTGTTTGTTTGTTTATTTATTTATTTAATTCACTTATTTATTACTGATGCCTTTTTAAAAAAATGCCACTATAATTTAAGAATACAAACCTCCTCTGGCTCTACTGAAGTGAGCTCTTCTCTGTAGTAAAGAAAAAAAATCAAATAAAAATAACCAACAAATGGACCATTTCTGACAGTGTGTGCAACATTTTACACTCATAGTCCCCACTCTCTCTACCAAAAAGAGGGGAGTGCTTACTCTTCTCTGGATTCAAATTTGGTCATTACCATTATTCAGCCTTTTGGCTTGGTTTTAGTGTACTTTTCATTGATGTAATTGTAGGCATTGCACATATTGCTCTCTTGGTTTAGTTCATATAAATTTTCTCATATTTCTCTAAATTCTTCATATTCACCATTTCGTACATCATAATAATTATTCATTACACTTACATACCACAATTTATACAACTATTCTCCCATGGATGGGTACCCACTTTGTTTTCAG